GACTCATCCAGGAGGTCATAAAAGAACCCAGAACAACATCTAAAGAACTGCAGGCCTCACTTGCCTCAATTAAGGTCAGTGTTCATGATTCAACAATAAGAAAGAGACTGGGCAAAAACGGCATCCATGGGAGAGTTCCAAGGCAAAAGCCATTGCTGACCAAAAAGAACACAAAGGCTTGTCTCACATTTGCCAAAAATATCTTGTTTATCCCCAATACTTTTGGGCAAATATTCTGTGGACTGATGAGACAAAAGTTGAACTTTTTGGAAGGTGTGTGTCCCGTTACATCTGGCGTAAAACCAACACAGCATTTCATAAAAAGAACATCATACCAACAGTCAAACATGGTGGTGGTAGTGTGATGGTCTGGGGCTGCTTTGCAGCTTCAGGACCTGCATGACTTGCCATTATTGATGGAACCATGAATTCTGCTCTCTATCAGAAAATCCTGAAGGAGAATGTCCGGCCGTCAGTTTGTGACCTCAAGCGCACTTGGTTTATGCAGCAGGACAATGATCCAAAACACACAGCAAGTCCACCTTTGAATGGCTCAAGAAAAACAAAATTATGGTTTTGGAGTGGCCAAGTCAAAGTCCAGACTTAAATCTGATTGAGATGCTGTGGCATGACCTTAAACAGTCCATTCATGCTCAAAAACCCTCCAATGTGGCTGAATGAAAACAATTCTGCAATGAAGAGTGGGCCAAAATTCCTGTGAAAGACTCATTGCCATTTATCGCAAACGCTTGATTGCAGTTGCTGCTGCAAAGGGTGGCACAACCAGTTATTAGATTTTCATGAGTAGACACGCCCCTTACTGCTGATTGGCTACAAGTTTGTTTTGCTACTCGGCCCGAATCAGTTTTCTAAAGTGTTTTTGAAAAATCGCTTACCCCACCTTTAAATAGTTCAAAAGTGACAGAAAAGACTTTTATGTTGTTGCAAAAAAAGAGAAAAAGTATAATAAGTATTTACATATAACATAATTATTTAAAACATTCTATTAATCAAGGAGCCCTGTTGGAAACATTGATAAAAATAATAATTGGAATGCAATATTAGAATGATTTCTGAAGGATCATGCGACACTGAAGACTGAGTAAAAAAAAAAATAATTCAACTTTGCATCACAGGAATAAATTGCAACTTGAACTGTATTAACATATAGAAAATATACAAATAATACAATAAATATTAAATAAATATATAAATAAATTAAATATTTATATAAATATATAATATAATTGTTATATATGATAATATTTCATCATATTACAATTTTTACTGCATTTTTTATCCAATAAATGCAGCCTTAAAATAAATAAATAAATACATTTCAATATTTCAATACACAATTGTAACACATTTCTTGTCATAACAACTTTATTTTCACACAGTATTCTTACATTTTCTGGTTAAACTTTACATTTTGACAGAGGGGCCTTTTATGTGATTTTTTTTACTGTTTCATTGGTTTTGTTTTATACTGTAACATTTGCAGCAGCTGCCAAAAACATTTAATAATGTGAAAATATTGTGAACCTGAAGTGTTCTGTATTCACTATGCACTTTGTAAAAAAAAAAAAACCCTGCGACTGCTGAAACCATTGAATCATGAGGCACACATTGAGTATATTTAATGATTAATAATCATAGTATCAATCATGTAACTGCGCAACCTTAAATTGTTTGATTACCATATTGTCAAACAACAAAACCGTTAATCTAGGATCATGCTCTACTCTATTAAACCACACTGTGTGACTGTAGATGCTGTAATGTACTGAATGGTTCATTAGTTTTAAGAGCAGTGTTTAAGGAGCGTTTGCACTCTTCTACTGCCATATTAAAGGGCATATAATCCATTGGTAAAGGAAATGTAGCATATAGCCTGCCACTATATCTGTAATCCTCTCCTTGCCCAATCTGCATCCTAATTGATGCAGTTAACTCATGATGCGTGTGTTTCTCTTTATTTCAGAGATCAGCAGGGTACGAAAGGACATGTACAACGACACGCTAAACGGCAGCACGGAGAAGAGAAGCTCCGAGCTCCCGGACGCCGTCGGCCCCATCGTTCAGCTCCAAGAGAAACTCTTTGTGCCTGTTAAAGAATATCCTGACGTGAGTCTCAAACCTAAAACCCATTCACACTGCAAATACACTTAGAGCTCCATCACAGGGTTTTAAATAATTAATGCCATTTTTGCAAGTACACGTGGGTTTGTTTGTTTCATTAAATTAAAAATTCAATGACAAATGATTAAAAATGCATCCCGAGAACCTTTCAGTCACATGATCTAGTCTCGGGCAGCAGTTGAAGGTCAGTTAAAAATGATTTCAAGTAAATGCCTGCATACACACACAGGCTCTTTACTGAAGCTGAGTGAGTAAATGGAATAGTAAATAACTGTGTGTAGCTGCTCAGTATGGCCCTTATTTAATTACAGAGACATACAAGTCAATGTAATCTAGTTTTCCTTGCATTAGGACATGGGCCCACGTCCAGTATATTGATTTCATTAAGACGTACTGAAGGAGTGAGGTTGCACAAAGTGTTTGAGTCCATTTAATTTATTGTGTTATTAAGCTGATGGTTTGTGGTCGACTGTGCGTCTGAGCAGTATAAATTCGCTGTGCGTCTGAGTGTCACCATCAAGATTACCTTTTTCATTTAAAACTTAATTTATTATTATGGGATAGTTCACCCAAAAGTTCAAATTCAGTCATTTCCTCACCCTCATGTCGCTCCGAACTTGTATGACTTTTCCTTGTCCCGTTAAAAAACATATTTCGTGAAAAAGAAGTTGTGTGTGTGTGTGTGAAGGTTATGGCCGCCCTTCCCGGTCTGAAGGACACCCAGGATCATTATTAGTGAGTTTGGGTTCATTAGGAGGTGGAGGATAAGCAATAAAAGAGATGTCCTTAAATAGCCCTCAGTGTCAATGGAGTCCTCCATATCCATAAAGACTAGAACTCATATTATAGTACAAAAAAAGATCAAATAGCCTATTTTAAATAATCTGATCAGGGTTTTTTTTAATTTTGTTGATGCATCTTTATTCATGGTATTTACAAACATCGACAACTGGTGAATGGAATGTGATTGGAGCTGTTTTTGTTGTGTGTCGTGGGTTTCGTGATAACGAAGATGGAATGTAAACGCACAATTTACGCGATGGAAAGCATGAAAATTTACTAAATCTCCTATGACAACTTGCAGTGATACATATCATCGAGGCTGAGAAAAGAACATAACGCTGCAGACAATAGATAATGAATTTCTAGATATGCTACTGTTCAAAACTTTGATGTCAGTATGTTTTTTTTTAAAAGAATTAATACTTTACTAATACTATTCATCAAAGAAATATTAAATTGATCAAAAGTAATAGTAAAGTCATTTATATTGTTTAGATTAGAACATTTGGATTTCTATTTACGATAACATGACAGAAATGTTTACTGAACAGCAAATCGGCATATTAAAATGCTTTTTGAAGGATCATGTGACACTGAAGACTGGAGTAATGATGCTGAAAATTCAGCTTTGCATCACAGGAATAAATTACATTTTAAAATGAATTCCAAAGGAAAACAGTTATTTTCAATTTTAACATTTCACAATATTACTGCTTTTACTGATCAAATAAATGCAGCCTTGGGGAACATTAGAGACTTATTTCATACGTATTCGTATTTGAATGGTAGTGTATAAATTAAGTATCATCAAAAGACTGAAAAATATAAATACAGAGTTCTGGCATGAAACTCTAGATGGCGCAGTCCGAACAGGTCTAACTCAATCTGACCTGGTGACATCATTGTCACATGGCAGCTGATTGGTTCTCTACCAGTAGCCAATGAGCTCGCTGCTCAATATTCAAATACCTGGCTTTTGTTTGCTGTAGCAGTTCCAGCTTGCTTCAGAAACCCTCCACCTTCTCCAGCTCCACCTGTATAGATCTGCTACGGGGTGATTCATGTATGCTATATGGGGGTTATTCATATGTGTTATATGTGCAGCAGCAGTATTTCTTACATGCTCACAGCAGCATGTTGTGGATGTATTGGCAGATCTATTCCGCCAAGACTAAATACATTAACATTGGCATGTAGATTACCATGCCAATCCCTTCGAGAGTTGTCATGACAGAAATGCATTCATTTTAGCTTATTATCAAAATACAGCATGATTTACACAGGAGTCCGTTCTGCTCCCGTTTCATGAATGAGACCCAATGTGCGCACGAGCATCCACACCATCCGCCCCAGCAGGCTTAAAAATCTCGAATTATCTCGTCGCAAGCAATCGTTACTCCAGTCTTCAGTGTCACATGATCATTCAGAAATAATTTTAATATGCTGATTTGGTGATTTCCTATTATTATAAATGTTGAAATCCGTTGTGCTGATTAACATTTTTGTAGAATTTGTTTCTTCATTTTTTTTGTATATTTTTTCAGGATTTTTGATGAATTGAATGTTCAAAAGAGCAGCTTTCATTTGAAATAGAAATCTTTTATGACATTAAAAAATGTCTTCACTGCCACTTTTCATTAATTAATTGCATCCTTGCTGAATAAAAGTATTACTTAAAAAAAACTTCTGAATATTAGTGTATATTTTTCTATATAAAGTGTATATTTTCTGTATAATATTTATATAAAGTTAGTGTTACATTTTATATAATTGTGACCAGTATTTTTTGAAGTCATTAAATATGTACGTGGTGCTTGAATGAGTGTCTGTTGTCTGAAAAATGCATTAATAGTAATAAATATGAAGAGGAATTTGGAAAGGAAGTGGAGTGTATTCCAGATGAAAATGTTATTGCTCAGAGTATTTTTTATTTCTTTAAAAAAAAAATCCTTTAAAAGTAAATAAAAAACAGGCACAAATAAGAAAATTGTTGACATGTAGAGCTATGAAATTAATGTTAATCTTTTAGCTCAGATAAAGAGGACTAATCTCTAATTCGTTTTAAAATCTAACTTATGAAATCTCTTTTGATTGCAGATCTGAGTGTAGTTTAAGACATTAAGATCTCATCTGAAACTCTTGAGAGCACGTGTGAAATTACTGTGGTCGTTTTGGGGATTTGAGGGACTTTTCTTCATTTGCTGTTCCTTAATCCTAATCACTGTCTTGGAGAAACAACTGAGATGTTCAAGTGATGTCATTTGCGATGGCTAAAATCCCAAGATATTGTCTAGGAATTTACTTTCATGGCAGCTTTTGCTGTTTTTCCCCTCATATTTTGAAGTCTGTCTGCTTCTACATGTCCTCTGGGTGTTTAACAATACATTATAGTCTCACTTTCCTCGACCAGCGCTGTGCCACTCTGAGATGCTGCTATTTTGGGAAGACTGTTGCGTTCAAACAGTGCGAGTGAGTTTTTATGAGTGTGTTCTTGCAGCTGCATGTATATATGGATCTAAAGGGCAGCGTGTTCAGCACATGTGTGTGTTTGTGTTGGGTGCTGTCAGGCAGGAGATCTGACCGCCTGCCCTTCCTCTCTCCAGGTGTCATTGTTTTAATTAAATGGGTCCAATGGGATGGACCCATAACTCAGAACTGAATGAGGGCTTAATGAATGCAAAACTACTGGACGTTAACTGTGGTATTGGCTGCCGTACCTGCAGCAGCTGGTGTTGATTAATATGATTTCATCTCCATGTGAATGTGTGTGTGTGTGTGTGTGTGTGTGTGTGTGTGTGTGACTGACCTTACTTTGCAGTTTTGTAGTTTTGTGAATTACAGAAGTAAAATGCTTTAATGATTATGGGGATTTAATACAGGGTTCGAAAACCTAGAAATATCAAGGAACATTAAGGCTTTGTTGTCTAAGATTGGGAAATGAATAAAGTCTTATAAATTATGAAAGAGTCTTGATTCTGATCCTTAAAATTCACTTTAATTGGTTCAACTTGCATAGTAAATATACATTTCTTTCGACTTTGGGAAGAGTTTATTTATTTATTTATTTATCTTTTGAAAGAAGTCTCTTATGCTCACCAAGGCTGCATTTATTTAATCAAAACTACAGTAAAAATTACTCAATTATCCTTTTTTACAGTTATAATGACTTAATTATCATAATACTCAAATAAATCATTTCTAATCCAAATGAAAATTCACCTACTCTCAGTTGTCCTCAGCATGTATATTTGAAAACAATTATTAATCTTATAAAATCAAACATATTTTTGGCAAATATCAGATCAAACTGAATCCCTGTCATAGTAAATATTTGTGACCCTGGACCCCAAAACCAGTCGCTGGGGTATATTTGTAGCAATAGCCAAAAATACATTGTATGGGTCAAAATTATTGATTTTTCTTTTATGCCAAAAATCATTAGGATATTAAGTAAAGATCATGTTCCATGAAGATATTTTGTAAATTTCCTACTGTAAATATATTAAAACTTAATTATTGATTTGTAATATGCATTGCTCAGAACTTCATTTGGACAACTTTAAAGGTGATTTTCTCAGTATTTTGATTTTTTGGCACCCTCAGATTCCAGATTTGCAAACAGTTGTATCTCGGCCAAATATTGTCCTATCATAACAAACCATACATCAATGGAAAGCTTGATGTATAAATCTAAACAAAAATCGAAAAAATTGACCCTTATGACTGGTTTTGTGGTCCAGGGTCACATTTAACCCCTAGTGTGTATTTGTTCTGATTCTGGGTGACTGCTGAAAGTGGGCAGTGAGGTTTAAGGTTATAGATCCAGCGTCTACGTAACCTTTTAAACCAGGCTATAATCTTTTCTGCTGTCCTCCACCTAAAAGCACTCATACACACTGATGGCTCTGCCCGCAGTGAGGAGAGGTGAGGCGCAGCGGTTGGTGTGTGAGTCTTCTCATTACTCTGGTGATAATAAACAATAACACGCACACAGGGGAGAGGTGCAGCGGCGTTCCGGATCACCTCGCTGCTAATGAAGGTTAATTAGGGTTCATTAGGACATGATGAGCGTTCGCAACACCACCACAGCCCTCTGCTTTATGCCTGCCGTCCGCCTCGGTTCCTCCTCTCCGGCTGTCACTCCTGATGGACTCCTGAACATCAGTCCATATCAGTGAGAGTCCGGACAGACACCACTGCAA